AGACAGACAGACAGACAGACAGACAGACAGACAGACAGACAGACAGACAGACAGACAGACAGACAGACAGAAATGAGCTTTTTTTTATTTTGTGGGAGGCAGATTATTTTTAACTTATTCCTTCAGAAGGTACATGAGCTTGCTTTAAAAGGAAGTTCAAACTTTAAAAAAATAATAATAATAATAATAATAATATTGAGACACTTTAAGACTCTTGATTCACTCTTACCTCTGAAAGGGCAAGTTTCTCTCATTCATTTCCTGTAAGCCTTCCAGAACATACCGATAGGCTTCAAAGTAGGCAGTTGTCTCAACCATCAGAAACTTCTGATCAGGCTGTTAAACAAAGGGAAAACAATCATAAGGTTTCCATATCAGCCATCTATTTTTGAGGTTATGCATTACTCTGCGGAGTGTTGCATACCGTGAAGCTATTATTTAACTGTGAGCATACAATATATTAGAATAAATTCTCAGTACTTCTTGTGTACCTAAAACCCTGGAGACTCACTGCATGCTTCTTTAGTAGTGTTTGATTGAACATCATGTGAATTCTGTATAAAAAAATCTCACCTGAATTCTAACCAGCTTGTATCTGCTCTCCTCTGTAAAGGAAATCTGGACCAGCCCGTGCTCCAGTTTTATTGAGTCTCGGTCTGAAACGGTGGCGAACAGGAAACTCTCAAAATGATCGTGAGACAAGCACACCAAAGAACCAAAGATCAGCCTTTTGGAGTTCTGCCAACGCACAAACTGAAGGGAAACAAAGGACAAAAAACTATTATTGCTAGACATTGTCAGATATGTTCCTATATTTTGATTGAAGCTACTGTATATGTATGCTTTAACTGGACAATTTCACATTTCATAAAACATTTGAGTGCGATGTATTGAGAAACACCGTTGAGATCCTAACCTTCAGTGGCTTAACGTCAAACTGGACAATGTATGCGAGGCCGGTCGGTGTGCATTTTGGCGCTACTAGCTGCGTGTTAAAATACACTCGAATGTCATCGAAGTGCTTCGTCTTCACCAGTTTATCATTCCTTCCCTTGTACGCTTGGTCCTGGAGCAGCTGCTGAATTCCCTCACGAAGCGGTCGAACAAAGTCCTCCCTGAGCAACCGGAAGTGTGTATCGAGGTAAAGGTGGGTGTTTGTGTATGGTTTCGATGTGTTGTTACGTCTGAGAAATGGCCTGAGGTCCTGGTGTAATTCCTCAGGAGTTGGGTAGAGTGGTATGCTCCGAAAATCCTGCTGATCTTCATCTGCGTCACAAACAGGGGCAATTTCCCTTATTCAAACTTTGTTCCAAACTTTTACACCTTTTAAATTAATTGTTTCAGCTAAATGTGATAATGGCCTGAATTATCAATATATAATTGTTAGAATTTTATTTTATTACCTGGGATGTCCCCACCAGCGGCTACGAGTGCATACGTGTCCCTGTCTGTGCGCAGAGTCCCCTCCCTGGATTTCTGCTGGAGGTGCTCTATCAGGCCATTTAGGTTTTCCATTTTTTCGTCTGTTTGAGGATAGACGTCCACACCCGTGGCCCGCAGGCTGTTGACAGAGGCTTGGAGCAGTGTCAGCAACACACTCACAGCTTGGACAGAGCTCGCAGGAAAGATACTGTGCACCTAAACAAGCATATAAGTGAGAGCAATTGGTTAAAGCGTGCAATCGTAAAAAGACAAATCCGTATCAACTTTAATATAAAAAAGTTGTATTGAAAAGCCATGCATAAACATTTCAGTTACGTAAAATAAAATGAGGTAAAGGCAGCAATATGTTCAAAGTAGCGTAAAGTGGTTTAGTCCCCTTTAGGTAAACTATTCAAATGCTCAACTACAATGTTAGGGTGAATATTTCCTAAGGGGATTCTTACTCCAAATACAACATTTAGCCTAAAGAACAAACCTTCCTTTCATAGAATCATCACTCACTTGCTAAAGGCCACTTTGTGCATTGTGAACTTCAACTTGTATCTTTTAATAAAAGCCCCTTTTAGGAGCCACTGCAGGGAGTTTTGCGTCAGTTATCATTTATCTAAACCTAAATGGCTTGTTCTTTCAAACGTTCATTACCTCCGAGAGTATACTCAGGATGTTTTCCAGATGCTGTGGGAATTGTGCTCTGCGGAAAGGGTTGGACTCTGCCACCATGCCTCCCACATGGTGAAGCAGGGTGGTGCGGAAGAACACTGAATCTTTAATTACGCCAGCCAGGTGCTGTAGTGTGCCTCTGTCTGTCCTTGACGTAAAGGCTTTGCTCAGCACCGTGCAGAGAAGCTGCATTAGATCCGGCCTTATCTGCGTCTCACCAAGGAGTGCTTGAAGGCCAGGATGTGAGGAGAGTGTAATGGCCACAACAGACGGCTCCTCCTTGGAGAGGTCCTCGAGTTTTTTATAACCCAGTTTATGACCATGTGAACCTGCACCATCTCTTCTCTCTCCCCCGTCTTGTCTTCTGTCCCCACTGTGTCCTCCTCTCCCGACAGCTGTTCCTGCTGTCCCTGTTCGCTCACCTCCTCGTTCAGCTCCACCTGGCTGACCATTTCTACCAAATCTCTGCCCGTCTGCCCCTCCCCCTCTATTTCCACCTCTCCCTCCTCTTCCCACGCCTTCTCCTCTCTGCCTCTCTGTAAATCTTTGATTGTTCCCTTGACTTTGTGTTCTTCTTCTGACTTCTTGTTCTCTCGTCCGGTTTTTCTGTGCACTTCCTCGTCGTCCTCCTCTTCCTCCACGACCATTTGCGTTTTGGCCAGTATCAGTATCTGGAAGAATTTTATCAATCAGACAATAAACACTGAAAATAAGCTGTAGATGTGTGCTTTATCTTATTATATTGTGTTGTACACTTACCATTACGAGGCTCTCTTCTCCCTCTTCTCGGGCCTTCCATTGTCTTGCAAGGGAAGTTGTAACTAAAGTTGGTAGAACAGATTATTTCAGAAATGAGTGAGAGCGGATTCAAACAAAGTCATTGAGAAAAAGCAATGCCTGTGCTAGTCCCTAAAAAAACTGAAAGCACGGGAAACAAAATGCTGGGGAGGGATTTCTCCATAAATTACTGTCAGCAGCCAAAGCATTTCCCATCTTCTCAGAATCAACACGATTTTCAAAGTCACAAGAGATCCTAGACTTGGATGAGTTATTCATTTATTTATTTGTTCTTTAATGCTGAGAGGAAGTCAAAGCAAACATCCTACTTGTATATTTTCAGTGTTTGGATTTTAAAAAAAAGGGTATGCATGTAAGATGCATGGTTGAATGTCCATAAAAGTATGTGTACACTTCTGAGAAAACAATTTTAAATTGTGAAACAAAAACTTTATCTTCCAGTGTTTGGGTCTGTACTGTGTAGGAAATTGTCTAGCAAATGAAAAGTGCGCCCCCTGCTGGATCTTCTTCCTGTAAGTTTCTTTTTCTTAGAAACAAATGAGAACTCTTTACATGTTTGTTTTTTTTGTTGTTGTTGTTTTTTCCCCTTCAGTCAGCCAAAACACCCAAACATTTCAATGGTATTCACTTACTTTCTAAAATGCAAACTACTGTTTAAAAACTGACATTTTTAATGTTATAAATGTATTGCTTGTCACATGAACTGTATGTGTATGTTAGGCCCAGGCCTCCCTTGCAAAAGAGATCTGTGATCTCATTGGGATTTGCCTGGTTAAATAAAGGTTAATAAATGTGTTTATACATCGCTTTATAATGTAGCTGTTTTTTTCCCTACTACTTTTCCTTTTAATTATCCTTTTTAACTACCATTTTATTTTCACTTGTTAAACAAATTAAATTTGTACGCATCCTTTATGATCGTGCATTGTTGTCAACATTCTTTGTTAAAATTCAGGTCTCTTGTAAATAAGCCTCCGAGGCTCAATGGGGAGCGGTGGCGCAGAGGCTAGAGAAGGTGGGCATGCGCGGGTTCAAGCCCCGGTACCGACAACATCATTCATTCAACCTTTATTTAGACAGGTAAATCCCAAACAGGTCTCTCTTAAAAATGAGTTCTCGTGGCTCAATGAGACTACCTGTATAAAGAATTTAAAAAAAGAAAAGAAAAATGGGATTAACCTGTATAAATAAAGGCTGAATGAATGAATGAATATCTAGTTTTACCCAAATATGCAATATTTGGTAATGCCATTTTAACCTGATGTCAGCTGTCAATCAATGTATTCAAATGTGTCATTATCGTGTTTCAAAGTTTCTTAGTGTTTTTGTATGTTTGTTATTTGCAACAGAATAATTCCCCATATGTGTGTAAAAAAATATATACTGCGAGAACACAGAGCGGTAAAAGAAATGAACTAACCTTGACGAGAATCTTTTCGGCGACACAAAAAGAAGTTTTCCAAAGTTTTACCGCTGAGCTCCGATTGTTTTCAGAGATGTAACATCCTTCACATCCCAGTCGAAATTATAATTCTCTGCTCGCAGCCATTATTTAAAGCTTTTTGTAGGTTTCGTTTTCGTTTCATCACAAACCACGCCTAGGACCCTGCAGGGCAAGTAACCATGACTAATTTCATGACGGTGATTGGCGGGTTGATTGTTTACACGGAAGCGTAGCCACTAGCAACCGTTTACTGGCAGACGACACAGCAGGGCCGAGCTCAAATCGTTGCCGCAGCAGGCTCGAAGCTGTCTCTCTAACCGCATTTGAACCAGCTTGAACTGTTTTCCTTTCTAACCTCTTGACGTTTTAGCTTGAAGTTTTGAAATTTGAGTAGAACATTGTCTCAAACCTGTGCCATTTTACGCAACAAAACTTTTAGGCTGATTTTAGTACAAGACACGTTGGCGAGCCATTTGGGTTTCTGGAACAAAACACTATATCCGAATTAAAATAATAATTTCAACTTTTTTTTTTTTTTTTTTTTTACATTACCCGTTTCATCTCCAATTAAAGTTATTTTTAGTCTGAGCCACTCCTTCAGCTCTTTTCCCTACTCCAGCGGAACCTTACGTCATCGTTCAGGCTTTTAGCAGGAAAGCTAACGCAGACGTATCCATGGTCACTTCCGCCGCTGCAGTAAACATGTAGAGGGTTTAGTTTAACCTCACTGCTATTCGGCTGTAATTCTGTGGTCCATATAATAATAATGGGTTCGATACGTGAAATAGCCTTTTCAGAACCAGGTCAGTGCTGTGTTAGCTTGGTAACTAGCTAACATAATAGCAAAGCAACTGTCCAAGCCGTGTTTTTATCAGGCTTGCTAAATTAGACAGCTAATAGCTAGCTTCTTGATGGCAGCCACGACAACCTAAACTGGGTTTAGCCGAGCAAAGAAGAATGGCAAGAAGGAATATTTAACAAGGACATATCAAAAGCTGAAGAAAAATGAAGGCAAGTAGAAATGATGGCACATCGTCCCCGATGAATGGAAGGCAAGGTAAATAAAGCATGCAAAGTTTAAATGTTTACTTCATCACCTATAAGCTTTTAACTAAAGTGTGTTTCACGTTTTTTTTTAAATGATTCCCGCAAATATATATAGTTGCTGCTAGTATATTTTAACTTGCAAGCTAAACGTAAACTCTAATCATGATCTTTTCTCTGGTAGACTGGGATGCCAGAAGGAAACGAAAAATTGCAGACATCACCCAGGCCCTCAGTGTGGATCCAGTGGATGTAGCAACTTTGAGGAGGATGGCTATCAGTGAAGGAGGACTGCTGACTGATGAAATCCGCTGTCAAGTCTGGCCCAGACTCCTCAACGTCCCCCCTCACCTCTTGGATCAAGAACCTGGTACCATTTGTGTCACTAATACATTTATACACTTATGAGCAGAGCAAAATAGATTAGTCCTGATGCATGCTCAACAATCCTTGATTGAAAATAGGTTTGTTTCTTTGGGCTGCTGCATGTTCCTTCCTTTTTGCACCATGCATCACAATGTATTAGCAGGGAGAGTGAGCTCTCCCACGCACGGTGTTTGCTAATTGTGATGTATCTTGTCTAGAAAAAGTAGAAAGAGAAAACAACAAGGACTACAACCAGGTGTTGCTGGATGTCCAGCGCTCCCTTCGAAGGTTTCCACCAGGTAGGTTGTCTAAGAGTATCTGCCTTTATTAACTTCTGTGTGCAATGACTCTGAGCACACAGAGAACTGTATCGTGGAAACAATGCAAACTCCCTCAAAAATTCTGCCTCTGTCTGAAATATTTTTAGATTTAGTTTATTACTCCTGCTGTTTAAAATTTGGTAATTAGTTTTGAGCATCATAAGTTGTGGTGACTCTGAAGTGCTGAACAGTGTTTGTCATCTGCTCATTTGCAAGAAACAAAAAAAAAAACTGTTACATTTTATAGCACTGCATTATGATAAACAATAATTGCCACTTGTCATTCACCAAAAACTTAATATTATTATTTTAAACTATAGAACTTGAGAATATTTCTGTTTTTATTTGATCTGCAGGATTTTGCAGCTAGTCATCTTGGCTCTTAGAATTTCCTAAGCTTTAAATTAGAAATGCAACCATCTGAATGTACTCTATTTTTTATTACAATATAATGATGTAATACTGTACACAAAGTAATAGGGCTCAGATTGCTTTTTCTAGCTGGAGGTAAAATGGCATCACAGTGGAGCTTGTGCAAGTCTGATTATAGTTTGGTGTGCGCCACCTTGTGCAAATGTAATTTTTTCTTCTAAATTAAAAATAAATAATCAGCTTATTTTTCTACTAAAATGTATTTAGAATGCTAGAATTGTTTTCATTTGGTACATTTTGAAATAAAAAAAATGCAGTGTTTTTTTTTTTTTTTGAGTATTTTAAGTATTTAGATTTTATCCCACATTTTGTAATGCACTTTTTTTTGTTTGTTTGTCAATTTTGAGATATTGAAGATCCTAAGAAACTGAACTTGTTTTCTGTCTTGAAAACATTTCACCTTTCATCTGAAAAACTTCTTCAGTTTTGGTTATAGCTCCAGTTTGTTGATGAGACAGTCACGCGTATAGGGAGTTATATAATTCACTTGGATTGTTGCAGTCACATGTTTCAACGTTTAAAAAGTTGTCAAAGGTATTGAATAGATGAAACCTGACAAATTTTTTTGTTTGTTTGTTTGTTTGTTTCATATAAAAGTACTTTATTTTGAAGATGTAGGTGGGCAGCACCTTGTTTCAAACTTTGAGACATGAAACTGCACCATCACGTATAAACAACTCACAAGTGATGACGCTTCACAGAAGGAGGGATATTGGTCTGTAATCATGTGACTTCAGTAATCCTGGGAGTGTGATTGTGCAAACAATGACTTTTTTGATGGGATGGCTTTTTATTTAGTGGAATTCTCAAAACTGAAGAAACTTTGAAAAGTTTGAAACATTTTCAAGAAACTACAAAATAAGTCCAGTTGCCTTTTTAAACTCAAAGTTGACATGTTCATAATGTGCACCACTGACATGAAATAGTTCAGTAAATGTAGCCATTTGTTTTTCTTTGTTAATGAGGTTTTACTACAGTTTTTGAAATTGCAACTGAGGCATTTATTTACTTCACTTGCTGAGGGGGAAGAAGACTTTGCTTCAAGTAGGCTTAAATTAAAGGTTGACATTTAATTTGCTATCTCATCCATAATTTAATACAAATTTTGTGCGTGCTTCCTTTAAAGTTATTAAAAACTGAAAACTTTCATGTCAAAAATGCTCTGACCTCACCTTATCTGAGTGGTTTAAAATGACTGTTTCTGTATTTGAAAATATATATTTTTAGTTAGTTTGTAGGTCTACATATCACAATAAAAATTGTTTATTTTAAATCGTACACCACTAAGAGTTAGCTCCAGAAAAGCATAACTGAACTGTTTTTAAATTTTTTTTTTTTTTCCATCTTTTTTTTGTTTGGGGGGGGGGGGGGGGGATTTGATAGTGGCACACTTAAAATAAATTTTATAATGAATAACAGCAGCGTTTCCTTGTTGATGATTTTGTTTAGGCATGCCAGATGAGCAGAGAGAGGGTCTTCAAGAAGAGCTGATTGACATTATCCTCAGAGTTCTGAAACGAAATCCTCAACTGCACTATTACCAAGGATACCATGACATTGTCGTCACCTTCTTATTAGTTGTGGGAGAACGCCTGGCATCCGTTCTCGTAGAGAAGCTCTCAACCCATCACCTCAGGTACTTGTCATGAATGCAAACTTAACTGCCAACTCTTCATTGTTCAAGGCTCTTATTTTTTGCTCGTTTCGGTACACTGCTTCCTGATGAGTTTGTGCTTTACAGACAAAAAAAAATATATATATATATGGACATTATTTTACTGATTTATTTTATTAATTTTTTTGTTTTGTATTCTTTCACAGGGATTTTATGGATCCTACAATGGACAACACAAAACACATTCTTAATTATTTGATGCCTATCATTGAAAGGGTCAACCCTGACGTTCATGACTTCATGCAGCAGTAAGTCTAATATTTTATATACAGTTACAACAACATGAAATGTTAGGAGAGGGAAAAACTCTTACATGTGCTGGTTGGTTTTACCACAACACAGACAGTTGTGTATTTTCAAGCACTGGAGAAAATTGTGCTATGGATTTTTTACGACATTTCTTAATAGTTACAATACCAATTACTGGGGCTGTGTCTAAATTGAACACACTTTAAGTTGATCAACTTTTTTTTTTTAGGGCTGAGGTGGGCACAGTCTTCGCTCTCAGCTGGCTCATCACCTGGTTTGGCCATGTGCTGTCAGACTTCCGTCATGTGGTACGGTTGTATGACTTCTTCCTGGCCTGCCATCCATTGATGCCCATCTATTTTGCTTCTGTGGTGAGTTTTCATAATTTTTTTCATTCGTTCAACCTTTATTTAAACAGATAAGTCACATTATTATTGATAGATTTATGACAAAAACAACTCGTTTGTGCCTTATTAGGGTGTTTTAGGTAAATAAACCTTTCCAAGGCTGCAACTTTTATGTATTTTATCCTCGTTTAGTAAAATGTAAGGTTAAATGTTATTTTTGCGGGATGTGTGTTTTTACTCACGTGACTTTCTTTACACATGACAAGTTTATCATTACAGGGGCCTATAGAACAGCAGAGGATGTCCTGTACCATTTACTCAAGTGAAGTGAATTTGTAATTCAGGCATCTTCAGTTGTGTCAGATCTTCTCCAAGGTTTATAAAGCTGTCACTAGTTTGGCAAACCCATTTATTTCAGACATGTTACCCCCACTTATTACACCGCTGATGGGAAAATAATAATCCACTTCTGTGCACACGCATTGAGTGCAATTGTCATGATGGCTCTTGAGAAATATGCCTGTTTGTGTTTTTGTGGCAGATTGTATTGCACCGAGAGGAAGAAGTGTTGGAGTGTGAGTGCGATATGGCAATGGTCCATCACCTGCTGTCTCAGATTCCCCAGGACCTGCCATATGAGACACTAATCAGCCGAGCTGGAGACCTCTTTGTCCAGTTTCCTCCCTCTGAACTGGCTAGAGAGGCTGTGGCACATGAAAGGTACTTGTGTCCATAGGATCAGCAGATATAAAAACATTTTTACACACCGATTCTGCTGTAGCAGCCAGACTCTTAATTGTCATATAAAGCAAAGTCCTATTTTATTTTTTTATTCTTCTCACTAACATAATACTTGCTGATCTTGCATTAATCCATTTCACTTTCTGTCTTTTGCTTTTTCTGTTTGTACCTATCCTTTACCTCCTAAGCATGGCAACCTCTACCTTTAAGGACTTTGAACTTGCGTCCACTCAACAACGACCGGATTCAGTTCTACGTCGTAGACGCAGACAAAAACCAGCTGCTGTGGAGACGGCACGCCCTGTAGTGGCAGTGGCACGACCATCAACAGCACGGCGCTTTGTCCGATTGGCAGTTATGGGCCTGACAGTGGCTTTGGGGGCAGCAGCGCTTGCTGTGGTTAACTCTGCTCTGGAGTGGGCCCCCAAGTTGGACCTGTTTCCTTGAACTACCTTTAAGGCCAACACCAACTTACGTGTCCTTGACTAAATCAAACTGGTCACTCTGCTTCCAAAAACTATTTAATTAGTGAAACCACAGGGTATTTGATTCTGTAACACCAACTGGAACACACTAACCATTTTGAACATATTAATGCTCCTCTGTTATGAAGAAGAAACATTTTGATCTTTGTATAGCTTGAAAACTCCAGTTTTGTTCAGGTTTTTTTATTTTTATTTTTTTTTTTTATATATAAATGAGTGCATTGGTTTATTAATTGCCAATGTTCTTAAGCAATGAAGAGACTGTTTCTAAAGACTGTTCTTGGTAATGTTATATTTCAGTTTATGTATATTTCAGAATCGGATATCTAATTGTTTTGCTCACAGAGATTTATAGTGAATGCCTGGTGGACTCACTGAACTTGAAGTTGCTGCCAATTTTGTGAGCTGGAAAGTGTGTGTGTGTGTGTGTGTGTGTGTGTGTGTGTGTGTGTGTGTGTGTGTGTGTGTGTGTGTGTGTGTGTGTGTGTGTGTGTGTGTGTGTGTGTGTGTGTGTGTGTGTGTGTGTGTGTGTGTGTGTGTGTGTGTGTGAGAGTGTGTGTGAGTGTGTGAGAAAGATGCAGTTCATTATTGATTTGATACCTTACTGAGACCAAACTGAGAATTCTTTGAATCCTCTCTTTGTATAATGTTTAATTTTGTTGTTCATAATTGTACAGCTTCATGACACACTGGCACTTTTAGGATCATCATTTTATTGCTTCAGTTAATAATGTCCATTCAGGTTCTTTCACATTTTTATTGGCACAACTTTAATTCACTTTAGATTTGGTGTCTTTAAAACATTTTATTGCTCATGATTTGATATAAATTTATAGTTGACATCAGTCAAACTCATCTATGATGTAATTGGTGTTACCAAGGTTTTGTAGCCTAATTCGTTAACGTACCTCAAAAGCTACATTTGTAGAATTCCCAACATTAAAAAAATAATAATAATCACCTTAAAAATAAAGTGAAATGCATTTAAACAATGTGAAGTTGGCCATTTTCTGTGGTTGCGGCAATAATGACGTGTTTTCAGGTTTAATCTACTTAATAGTTGAGTCGTCGTGGGTTTTCTGTCTTAACAAAATAAAATATAAAATAGTACTCAGCATTAAATTGACATGGAACAGAAGCTGGAGTGCAACTATCTAAACATGTTATGTTAAAGATGTTCACTACGGTAAAACAAAAACCGTGGTTTGTGTGTTTACCATGGACGTCGTGCAAAGATCATGATCAAAGATTTGAAATGTGGGTTTATTTTTTACGCTTTGTCCAGAATAACTTGCATTTAAACCCTACCCTGGTATTAAATCTAATATAAACAAATCTGTGTATACTTATAAATTTGAGAATTTTCAGTCAGCTAAAAAAAAATAATCACTTGATTTGGTCAAAAACTTGCGATTCACATCTTTACTGGATGTTGTCAGACCTAAAAGCTTTAATAGAAAAATAATAGTTCAAAGCTTTTAGCTTGTATTTACTTATTTGCACAATTAACATTTAAGTTTTTGCCATAATTTCTGTCTTAATTGTATTTACACAAATAATTATATCCTTTATATCTCTCCAATCTGACATTTCAATGAAGCTGCATGAATGGTTTATTTTGTTTAAACACAAGAGCCAAATTACATAACTTTACATTATTACATTTTATTGTCACATTTTAAAATGGGGGGGTTGTTTGGTTTAGGCCACTCGTTCAAACACTTTAGGCTTAGTAGAAAATACAAATGTTTTAAGGTGTTCAGTTTAGTTTGCCTGTACAATTACAACATTGGTTTGAGTTGGGCGTTGCCTACATTTGATGACACAATTAGTGAACTGCACTCTTCAGTTAAGGCCATCACAGTGATATTAAGTAGCTGTTAAAGTGTCATTAAAGTTGAATGAAACACAGCATCGCTGTTGACCAGCATCGTGTATCATGCTGTTATATAGTGCGCCACTCCACGGTATTATTTTCATTGCACTAAATGATTCATTTGCCTTTGTATGTTTATTTTATTTGTTAATAATACATGTTTTGTTAGTAATTAAACTGATCTACTGATGAATTGTAAAATAGAAGGCTAATAAACTGGAGTGAAAGCGTCTGTTGTATTTTTTTGTACTCCATAATCAGTTTGTATACAATTTCTGGAATTGCACTGTATGTAAAGTAACGAGTTTGTCTTGCCAACCAATCGATGCCGGAATACAAGTAGCAGGGAGAGGGGGGTCCGCCTCAGAATTTTTTAGATAAACTAGATGAAATTTCCTGCATTTTAACAGGTTGTTAAACATCTACGTTTACCTAGATTTGTAAACACTCCGCCTCTGCCAAACATCCTACCCCTCCATCTTGACAGGAAGCACGACTCGTTTCCGCTGAATTCACCGTCCTGCTCGTTGTCCAACTCCACATGTGAAACCTCAAGGCACCTCCATCTGTTCATGGCGGCTGCCTGGTTAGCTCGGCACTCACCACTCGCTCGCTCCTGCTCCAATCTCCATTGCCACTGCCTTAAGGTGCTTCAATTCCCGATTGTCTAAGGACAACGAGAAGCCTTTTTTAAATTAAAGTAAATTGGACTGTCTTTACAACATATTGATCGCTGTTATTTTGACAAATTCATTCATTCAACCTTTATTTAAACAGATAAATCACATTGAGCCTCGAAGACTCATTTACAAGTGAGACCTGTTTGGACAGACAAAAACGGTGGTTAACTGGACACATGTAGGAGTTGAAGGCGACAAAAATTCCTATCAGACTTTTTTCTTGGCTGAGAAAAACCCCTAATATTGAAAAAACACCTCGCACAAACAAGCACATATTTACGTAAACATTCTGCAGAGCAGGAAGAGACGAGAGCGGTCAACAACGTCTACAGATGCTCTCGAGGTCACTGTAATCAGTCAATGTCCTCCGGTGAGATCCATAAACATTCTCAAGGAATGGCCAAGAACAACCTCTGAGAATCCAGAGTCCTGAAATGATGACACAAAGTTTTTTCAGCTGGGTTTCATCTGGTTATCAGTTGGAAATTTCTCAGGGAGGGGGTGGTGAGCGTCAGATCACATTTTCTCCAGGCGAAATTCAGATAAGGTGTCCTTCAAGGACACCAAGGCGACCAAAATTTAGATAAACAGTTGTTTTGGAGACAGGCAGAACTTAATGACATCAACCTTCAGTCTGTGTTTGGTCCACTCGGTTCCGAAATGTCCAAATTAACATGGCCACACCGATGGAACATGTCTGAGTAAAAATCCCCAAGATCTGATCCATTCAGCCCAAAGCATTTGAGTCCGGGTACTCGAGACATGAAACCAAACCATCATAAAGGCAAGCAGCGTGATCGGGTCCAAATTTGCTGCTGACAACTTCCTTGATTGTAGATAAATACCAGGACCAGCTGAATCCAAAAAGCAGGAACCGGTTATTGTGAATCCAATTAAATATGGGTCCTTAAAATCCACAGATGGCAGCAGAGATAGACACATCATCAAGTCTTCCAGTCGATGAGATATCCAGCTGCGTACGTGCCAACAGGGTAAATCGGCTCGCCTAAAGCCTGTCTTCTCTTGAAGAAATGTTGTAAATTGAGTTGAGGGACCAACTGGTCAGAACAAGTCCATAATTATGGTTCGGAAGAAATGCAAGAGAGTCTCAGAAGCAGTTTCACAGACAAACAGAGCAGCAAAGCGGAGAGGGAGGGGGAGGAAGCATCCGATCTCGGCTTGAGCAAGCGGTGAAGTGAAATTAGTGCCGTTGTTTTGATACGTGCTGTGAATAATACACAAACATTTCTCATATGTTTAATAATCAAAATTTAATTAATGACCAACTTAAACTGCCAAACTGATGTTGCAATTTAATTATATGTTTGAGTTTTATATACAGTACCGTATATATAATTGCACAATGACTTTGGACTTTTAGGGGAGAGATTTTTTTTAGGGTAGAAGCGGACATGCTTACTTGGAAGAGGCAGCTCGCATGTGCTTTTAAGAAGCTCGTAAGTGGCTGTTGTGTTTAAAATGAGTGTTTATGTAATTATTTTCAGTTAAATATAAGTTTTAATTATTCAAGGCAGTTATATTTGTTCATAACTTCCTTATTAGTAAGCCTGAGAATTACAGGATCTGAGCAAAAAGTTACCAGAACACACCCTGTCAAAATAAGAGTTTCCAGATCCTGTTCCGGCTCAAATTAAGCACTGGTCTTAACTATTTGGAGGTTATTTATGTAGCAGCATTTCATTTCAATTCAATTCAATTCAAAAATGCTTTATTAATCCCAAAGGGAAATTATTTGTTGTAGTAACTCGTTATCCTCATTTCATTAAGAGATGTTATAGATGCTGATGGCTGTAGGCAGGAAGGATCTCTTGTAAAGGTCCATCCCACAGTGGATCCTAAGAAACTGGCTGCAGATGCCGTCCGATCCGTCCACCCAGATGCAGCTGGCCTCTCGGTTCCCCCGGGCTGTAGGACCTCCTGAATGCTGGGCAGAACTCCTCCCAGAGCGATGGCCACTGCTCCCAGCAGTCTGCCGAGCTCCTCGTCGCTGCGGACAGCCAACTGTAGGTGCCGAGGGACGACCCTGGCCTCATGACCCATGTTTCCTGCTAGTTCCAGGATCTCAGTGGTCAGGCACTCGAGCACAGCTGGCAGGTTGATGGGAATGCGTCCACAGAACATCCTTTTCAACTCATTTGATATTTGGGGCTGTAGTTGAGATATTATTTGAGCTTTTGAGATGTTAACCAGCTGCTGTTGGTTGTAGAAAACTGCCTTGTTGCCGTGGTTACACATCATAACAAATGTCCAAAACTAAAAAACGTTTCAGTAAAAATCCTTCCAGCTGCACAGCATCCGATACCAGAGGAA